TACCAAGTTTCGTTTAATTAAGTTCAGTATTTCAAAAGTTATTTGAAAAAAACGAAAATAAAAATAAAACTTCAACATCCTGTATCTTAGAAACGAAGCGTTCCCGGACATTTATTTATTTGGACAATTCATATTAGAATATTGTGAGGAATCACCTCCTGAAGTTTGCCAAAGTACTTTTGAGTCACACTGTATAGTATATACTTCTCGAAGTGGGACACAAAAATGGAATTGTAGCAAATATTATCCAGCTCGAAGTTCCCTTTAAAAGTTACTGAACAAGCTGCATCTAATTGTTTATTTCTATTGAAAAATATATGGACACTTCAGCTGAGCCTGAACTCGTTGAATGTGATATGGTTAATTCGAAACAAAACCCTCCAACCAGTAAAGTGACATGTCGTACAGCGACGCTATCTTCCTTGCGACGCTATCTTCCTTTTATTTTAGGGATTTTCATTAATTTCTTATAGAATTACTTTTCCGAACTGTGTCATACTTACTGTTGTCGGTCTGTAACTACGTTCATTATTATCCTTCAATCACAATCAGGGTGATTTGATAACTGTACAAAAAGTGTGAAAATAACTGCAAGCATTGAAATAAAGTCATTTTTGTGGAAATTCGTGTGAAAAATATGAAAATTGTAATGGGAAACTTTATACACGTGTAGAAAGGACAAACTTTCTAGTTTACACTCCCAATTTACTGTGTGAAGTATTTTTCACGGAAAAAAGTTATATTTATCAATAACTTCTCATATTCAATAATTTTGCCTATCAAAAAAGAGCTTAAAAATTATACAATACTTATCTTAACGTTTCGGAGGCTAAAATCTGCCTCCGTCTTCAAAATTGGAAAAAAATTAGTTCATACAAATTTTTTCACTTGCTTATTCTTTTCATTCCTCAACTTCTTCGACAGAAATGTTGTCTGAAACATTCGAAATAGTACAAGGTGTTCTCCGACATTAGTCTGTTACTATTTTGCTACTATCCATATTTTTACTTCAAGACGGGTAACCAAGTATGATCCATTTCTAATGAGGTGTTCGAAGTACACTTCTCTTCAGATATGAGAATATAAAGATACAATGACTCTTTAAGGTTACGTCTCTCAAAGTGGGGTTCATTGGCAATCAGTCTCGACTTGTTCCATTCAACTCAATGTTCACTCTCTGATTTCAAAATGTGTTCTGACAAATTTTGATCTTGTTAATCATCTATTTCTGATGTAATCTCCATGTTCATTCTCAGACATTTTTAATAGTGTTGAAGTTTCATGAATATAACTTTTTACCACAAGAATAAGGTACCTAATAAACGCAAATTTTTTTGTGTTGTCGCGTTTTGTATGTGTGACTATAGTTCTGAGTTTATTTATTGTTCTGTAAGTAATTATAACATCGTATCTATTTCCAATTCATTGCTTATTCTTTTCATTCCTCAACTTCTTCGACAGAAATGTTGTCTGAAAAATTCGAAATAGTACAATGTGTTCTCTGACATTAGTCTGTTGCTATTTTGCTACTATCCATATTTTTACTTCAATACGGGTAACCAAGTATGATCCATTTCTAAGGAAGTGTTCGAAATACACTTCTCTCCAGATATGAGAATATACAGATACAATGACTCTTTAAGGTTACGTCTCTCAAAGTGGGGTTCATTGGCAATCAGTCTCGACTTGTTCCATTCAACTCAACGTTCACTCTCTGATTTCAAAATGTGTTCTGACAAATTTTGATCTTGTTAATCATCTATTTCTGATGTAATCTCGATGTTCATTCTCAGACATTTTTAATAGTGTTGAAGTTTCATGAATATAACTTTTACCACAAGAATAAGGTACCTAATAAACACAATTTTTTTTGTGTTGTCGCGTTTTGTATGTGTGACTATAGTTCTCAGTTTATTTGTTGTTCTGTAAGAAATTATAACATCGTATCTATTTCCAATTCGGCTTATCTTCTCAGATAGTCCTGCAATGTAAGGTATAACGTTAGGTGTGGAAGGTGTCTGTGGTTAATATTTAATAGATATCTCTATCTCTATGACTAATAGATATCTCCACTACACATTAAATGATCATGAGAGTGTTGGAAAATTCAATGAATTGTCTTCATAACAGAAGAAAAACAATTTGCAATCCAACTGAAAATATAAACAATAAAGAAGTATCATTGATGAATTCTGTTTTGAAAGAGAACGATTATCCAGATTCGTTCATAAATTCAACGATAAATGCGATTTAAAATGAAGTGTCAATTCAAAACAAAATAACCCTACGAACAGCATTACAGATTCAAAAACCACCATCACCTTTGTCAACTAACGTTATACCATACATTTCAGAACTATCTGAAAATATAAGACGAGTTGGGAATATATATGATGTTAGAACTTCTTACAAAAAAAAACATGAGATCTATACTCACGCATACAAAACCCAACAACAGATAAGACAATAAAAAAATTTCGTTTATGTGGTAAAAGTTATATTGATGAAATTTCGAGGCTATTATATATTATATTATGGAAATGAATATCGAGATAACATCAGAAATAGATAATTGATAGCATCAAAATTGTCAGAATACATTTTGAAATCAGACGGTGAACATTGAGTTGAATTGAACAGGACGAGAATGATTGCCAATGAACCCCCACTCTAAGAAACGTAAACTTTAAGAATCTGCATAAATTCTTATATCTGAAGAGAAGTATATTCCTTAGAAGTGGATCGTACTTGGCTACCCGTCTTGAAGAAAATTATGGATAGTAACGAAATAGCAAATGACTGATATCAGAGAGAACACCTCGTACTACATCGAATGATACTGTAAACATTAATCATGAGATTTCTGTTTTCGGAGAAAATTGTTTGGAATAACGAAACAAGTATGACATGAAATAGACACGTGGGTTTCCTATTCATTTTAGTATTGTCAAGGTCATTGGAAACTGAAATTTTTTGGAAGCTCAATCAATATTGTGTTTTTCTACAGCCCGTATCTTCGTAACTAAATAGTTGAATATGAACTTTTTCAAATCATCACATAAATCATCATCTAAGATTGATTATAAAGTATCAGAGAATTGTGCACCAAATACAATGTTTTATGGATTGCTGATGAAATACAAACTGGTCTAGGCAGAACGGGTAGAAGATTGGCCGTAGATTATGAGAATGTGTTACCCGACATATTAGTTCTTGGAAAAGCATTAGGGGGAGGTGTTTACCCCGTGTCAGCTTGCTTGGCAAATGATGATATTATGATGGTTATTGAACCTGGTAAGATCACATTTAATTTCATTTCATTTTTCATTAATATAATCTATTGAAAACACTTTTCCCTCACAAAAACAAAAATACTGTCTCACGACTCACATTTAGCTAACCGAGTTAGAATCATCAGGAGATGAATGACACTACTCCAGTCTCTCCTCACGAAGAAGAATTCAAATCAATCTATTTTACTGAAATGAAAGTACAAGGATTCCTCACTCTTCAAATACTTCAGAGGGACGATAGACTGCGGTTGTTACTGCTATTCACTGAACGATAACGTGTTAGGAATCACACGTTAAAAGGTAAAACCTCGTTAATACTTAGCTCGTACAAGTTTCGACTTCTGAGGGTTGTCGTTGGTAGAGGAGCGACAGCTGGTTGACGGAAAAACAGATTTTAAACGGAGGGCTGTCACTCTTTATTGCCACCACCGTCATATACTATGCGTACATGTTATCTCCATCTTTGAGACTATTGTCATCAAAATAACTTCCGAAACAGTCTCGCCACATCTCATTTTTCTTCAAGTTTTTATAGCTTCAAATTTTATACCCATTTTTTTTCTCGTTCTCCTTTTTCTAACTGACTAATTCGAATATTTCGGTCCTGGTATTTTTAATATTTCATTGACTTTCTTCTTCTCATAGTTTTCAAATCTCTTAATACTACTTGAGGCAGTTGAAGTCCGAACCTGCAAAAACAAAGATTGTAAACTTTCACAACCGGAGATAACTGTCTCTAAGCTATTTTCCGGTTTGTTTGCCGTGGCCAGCAGCTTTTAATGATTAACGTTTCATCTACGACTGTGATAGATTTCATCAAAGACGATGAGACAACGGACGAAATGCCCTAGATGTGCTTACACATGTATAATTGAGTGCCGTAACCTTACCTTACTTGTTTCTTGATCTTGAGCAAGAAAACGGTACATGTGCCCAGTTGGAATGACTAGCTCTTGCTTTGCGGAGGCAAAGGCGCAGGTCGGCTCTTGATTTTTCATAGAAATTCAATTATGAGTGCTGAAAAGGGTTACCAAATTGAAAGTTCTTATTTTGGACGTCATCTACAGAAGTTTCTAGAAATACTGTACCCGTTTTCAACACTTGTCCCTGTAGACCCAACTTAGTTACATCGGGATAGTAGACACTTCAAGAATACCAATAAAACAAGGAATATGATTTACTTGCGAGTTTTAATGGGGTTGCATCCTCAACCTTGAAGTGAACTGATTAACCAAAAAAATTTTTATTCAATTTTGAACATAAATGGACACTGGCCTTAATAAAAATAATAAAAAAATAATAGGGTTCNTTCACTGAATAATTGACATCTTCACTCACATAAATTAATACTCCTGCGGTATGTCGGCTCGAAGAATATCCAGTAACAGCTATTTCACAGTCAAGAATATCACTCGTACATCTGGCTTCACTGAGAATCACTACTGATGACCAATAAAAAAATGTCCTTAGTAATCTGGTCCTTATGAGCATAAAAACTTTCAACATTCATATAAATTATGTCAACCTTGTATATTATATTAGGACTCTGTCGTTTTTTTGAATACTGGATACATCAACAATGGTGGGAATATTGTTAATGTTTATCATCTTATTTTCACCTCTGATCTTGAATTCATCTAATTTCTTTTTTAAATTTGAGAAATATTTTCTCTGAGACTTCGTTTGATCTGCAAAAATTTTGACACTATTGACTTTAATTAATTTTTTGTTTCTCAACACTGTTAAGGCTTCTTCCTATGAAGGAAAATATACTTTGACAGGTCTATTTTTGTTCTGATCAAATTTGCCTAACCTATATACTCGGATGTTTGAGGCATCTACCGCAACATTTTCAAGTAAATCTTTGATGGTCTCTTATCATCTGTTATTCTGTTTGCATGTGTTTTATGCATAGATTCATTAATATTAAGAACTATAATGTTTGCTGCCCTTTTTTGCCTCTCACATAGTTCATTTACAATTTGTTGAGTTGAATCATCAGAATTCAGTTTTCCAACATCCTGTATATTGTTCTGTAATTGTAATTGATCAACCTCACCTTGTAGGTGTTTGTTTTGGTTTCTCAGTTGTTCAATTTCTTTGTGAAGGTCACAAATGCTTTCTAGTGCTTCTTTTATCTTCAGTTTTTGTGACACTATTTCGGCAACTGTTGAAACAAATTTGTCGTCAGTAAAAAATTCCGTTATGGATTGTTTGATTATAGTTTTGATATCAATAATTTGTTCATGTGTAAAATGCATTTCACATTACATGGATCCTCTCACTCACACTTATTTGCACACAGCCTTTACTTTCTTTTCTTCTGTCAGTTTGTTTACTATGCGATTCAACACTTCACCACATATGGCATCTTGATAAACTATTCCCGACGGTAGGTACTCCGAAAAGACGTCTGACCTGGTCGATTGTCTGTTCAGCAATAGTGTTTTCATGTTTGAGATGGATGTAATATTTAGACCGCATTTCACATTTCAGAGTGTTGTTGTTTGAATGCAGGAGAAATACTTCATCAATATTCTCCTCAACTCCATTTTCCGGTTGTATTTCTTTGGATTTGATGGAAATTAGACAAAAGTGTTTTATTAAAGTGATCATGAATTTCCACAAAATAAATAAGTCTTCAAACAGACAGAACAGAAAAGACCCTTTCAAAACTTCATCCTTCACACATAGAATCGGTATCGGTTCAAAGTTCAAGCAATTATCTCACCTGTTACAATAGACATATACACAAAGCCTACCGATTCTAAGTATGCCACAGCTGAAACAAGATATGTCTCTCTGTACCTCATTTCTCACTCCACGTTTCACTACACTATGAAAACAAAGTATATGACTGAACAAAAAAATTCGAGAACTAGTTGACGTCTATTTGTATACCTAACCGTAACATGAATAATTCTACAGGATGAACCCAATTACAGAATAGGGAGAAACAGTGGCATTTACAAATATGTACTTACATAATATAATTTGTGAATCTATATAAAACAAATGAAAACAGAACTGTCAGTTAGCTAAGAAATATCTTTTGATTGGTATAATCTGGCAGTTGTATACATCTAGGACACGACTAACAGAATTAGAGGTATCACATATTGTATAAATTGGGGATTTTTTCATTAAATTTGTTCGCGGGGTGTTGAGATTAAAATGACCGTCTAGGAACCCAAAAATTCAACTTATGTAAAAATTGAGAGAACAGGTAATGACATTGTTTATGACATTGAATAAAAAAATTAATGAATGAATGAATTTCAAGCAATTAATAAAAGGATACAGTAGGATACGTGCATTCAAGTTTAAAAGACATATATTTTAGGATGCGCCTCTGTAGGGCTTCTACTTGATTTATATGAATCTGATAGTAGGGACTACACACAACAGATGCATATTCCAGCATAGATCTAACAAAAGTGAAATGAAGTGATTTCATTGTATAAGCTTTTTCGAAATCCTTTGTATTTCTAACTAAGAATCCATACATGCGATAAGCAGCTGTCAGAGTAGTGTCAATATGTTTATCGAAAGAGAGAAATGAATCAAAAGTAACACCTAGATCAGTGACTGTATCAGGACACTCCAGAACTTGATTGTTTATGACGTAGTTGTGTAATGTCAGATTCGTTTTCAGTGAGAAAGACATTACATTAAATTTGAATATGTTGAGAGATAGATTATTTTTCCGACACCATGTATCAACACGATTTGAATTTAGTGTGAGACGTTCGGAATCATTAGAACATGTTATATTGTGATAGAGTTTCAAGTCATTTGCATATAAAAGGAAATTGACATCAAGCTCAGCTCCGATATCATTGATAAACATATTGAACAGTGGGGGTCCTAGGTTTGACCCTTGTGGTACACCAGATGTGGCTACATATTGAATAGACTTGAGGCCATTGCGTTGGACATACTGCTTACGGTTGTAAAAACACGATTTAAAGAGAGTAATTGAGTCATTGGATAACCCAAAAGTCGAAAGCTTGTTGAGCATGATACTATGGTCATGCCTGTCATAGAAAAATCAGTATAGAAGGCATCAGTCTGAGAGTGACAATCAATACCCTTCGCAATACATTGAATGGTTTTTACAAGATTGGTGATGGTTCATGAAACCGTGTTGATTGGGGCTAATAATGTTGCTAACATGACAATAGATTGTCTTCTCAAAAAGCATCTCAAACACTTTACAAAAGTTGCATATGATAGAAATTGGGTCTGTAATTTTTTATCTCACTTTTATCTCCTTTTTTAAAAATTGGGTAGAATTTCGACATATTTCATATTGATGGTACAGTTGAAGTTTTCAGGCATATATTGATTAGAGTTGTTAGTGGTTCAACCAGAGCTGAGGCACAATCTTTAATGATGAATGATGGAATATCATCAGGTCCCGCAGTAAAATCAGGCTTTAATTTTTTAGGGTATGATAAACATCTTCAATACTAGATTTTTTTTATTACTAGGCCGGGAATATCACTACTGTTGTTCGCATGATCACTTGATGTTGACACTATATAAGAACCACTGAAGAAATCTGCAAAACCATCAAGAATATCTGACGGATTATCGAGTAGCTTGCCTACATGTAACATTTTATCTCCGATTCCATTCGTACATTTTGATTTGTTAATGAATGACCAGAACTTATTGGGGTTATGAATAATCTCGCTCTCAGTTTTCTGAATGAACTTTTTTTATAAGCTAATCCAATGGCTCTTTTGATTTCTGCCCGAAGACGTTTGGATTTGTAAAAAGCGTAAATATCACCGTTTCTTTTGTTTTTACGCCAAAATTTTGCTTTAGTATCAATTTTCTTTATCAATGCACCATCAAAGTAGGCTGTGTAATTATTTTTAGATTTTATCGGGAATATTGGCACGCAGCGATCAAATACACTGTATAATTTTTCAAAAAAGTGAAGACAGGCATCATCTGCATCATTGCGAAAAACATTTAGAAATGTCCAATCGATATTGAAGATCATCTCATACATGAGCGGAAAGTTGTTTTTTTTTAATTGTATGCATCTTGGGGGTAATTAATTACCTCCCTTTCTGAAATCAACATTCAATAATGAAATGAAAAGTAGAACTTCAGCATGAAATAAATCCAAAACAAGCCCTATTTCCAAACGTCAAAACTGCAACTCTTTTCGACGCGTGTTTCATCAACCAAGTTGGTGTCTTTTAGACTCAAACTAGTTTATGTTCTAATCTAACAGGGCACACTTCCACTTTTAGACACACATCAATGACAAACAATGGAGTTTTTATAGATCGCTTAGTCTAACTGATGTATTTTTTGAACCAGTACTCACAGCGTATTTCTTATATCCTCGACTTTTCAATTTCTAATATCTTGTCTTTAGGGTTACCTAATATTTGTTTGTTTCAAAGGCTACTTTACATTCAACTTTTTGAAAATTTGATCTTATCCGTTAATGTATCTTTGTCATGTGGAAGGACAATGAACTCATCACTATATCTGAAGGATACATGTTGCTTTCAGCTATCTCTGATAACATTTTTCTCAACATCGAACCTTTACTCACTCAGGGGAACGATACAAGCCTATAAAAAAGAAACAATAGAGGGGAGCTATCAGGAATATATCTATAAGTACTGGTATTTTTCCTATAGATATCAAATTCTAAACCCTGGTTACTTCTGATCGATAAGACATTCAAGAATGGTAACTGTTCGTTGTTTTCAATCTCATATGTGAATTTAATTTTCTGGAATATGTTGTTTATTTTAGATTATTTTTGTGACAAAAATCACAAATATATCATCTTCATATCGAATACAAGTCCGTGGAAAGTAATCCTATTCCTCTCTTGATCCCAATTCAAATCTGCTCATGATCAAATTAGCTATAAATGGGATAGTTGGTTTTTTGCCATTGCCGTGTTGTCTGTATAAACAATTCTTGAACTGGAAACAATTCTGTTCCTTGCAGATTTTTTTAGTTGTATGTAGTCTTCGATTACTTCTCTACTGAGACCATTGTCCCTCAGAAGATCCCTGAAATATTCAATAGTTTTTGGTATAGAGACAGGTGTGGAAATAAAAGAATTTCAAACTATATGGTTAATCATTCAGCAATTTCATAAGTAGATGAACTTATAGCGGAAGCAATTGGCCGCATCGACTTGACAGATTTATAAATTTCTGGTAGACAGTTTATTTCAGAAACTGTAGGGTTAGAAACCTGACAATACCAGACAAAACTGTTTTCATCTGCAGTAAATCTAATCAGTGGTACTTACTAGATTGGGTCACGAATGCAACCTCCGAAATGTAATGCGTTACACTAAATCATTTTACCAAGTTTCTTGATTATCTCAAGATGATAGGGTGGAAAATCACCCATAGCTAAGTACCATCGTTCGATATATGACAAAAACAGAGCATGATCTCACTGTTGAAACAAATGAAAATTTGTTTAATTTCAGGTACTCATGGTTCAACCTTCGGAGGTAACCCATTAGCTTCCAAAGTAGCGATAGCATCACTAGAAGTGTTGGAAGAAGAAAACGTTGCCGAAAATGCTTTGAAAATGGGAAATAAATTCAGAGCCGAACTAAAGAAAAAACTCAATAGCAAAGTTGTTATTGAGGTCAGAGGAAAAGGTCTTCTGAATGCTATAGTGATTAACCAAAGTAAGAACTGATTTGAATAGTCATTTTTGTGTTTCAAATTATAATTATGTTCTTTTATCATCACGTCATTACGAATTTAATTTGAACACAACTTCAAGTAGTTCAACAAAAAAAATCATTTGTTTCAACTAGACAGTTACTATTGTGAAAGAAAGGTTTTTGCTTTCTACTTCTCCATCTTGATACAAAAATTGTGGGAATCTTTCAAAGAATGGAAGGAAGCAATCAATTTGAAAAATTAACCCTATACAAAGAAGTAACTTTCAGACATAAAAGCCGAAGCTTGGGATATTTGTCTGAAACTGAAAGAAGAAGGATTGATAGCTAAACACACACACGAATACATAGTCAGATTTGCTCCTCCCTTGATAATTTCTGAAGAACAACTCGAAGAGTCAATGGAGATAATTATTCGAACCATTAATAATATTGGAACAATTTAGTGCTAAAATCCAGTAATTTCGAAATAGTTTGTTGAATTTCTATGAAATATTGTGTGAAATATGATAACAAAATGTATTACATTTTTTAAATACCAAATGTCATTTCATTCAAAGTAGGAATTATTAGATAGGCATTACTCATTTGAAAATTGATAAATGACTAAATTTTGTCCACAGAAAACATGAATTTTTTGCCCCTGTGATTCTAGTGCATCATATATGCATGATAGGTACATTACGATCTATCTTTTTCCCTTTGTTGCAATCCTGCGCTAAGAGAAAAATGATAGCTGACCGGAAACAAGCACCCTAAAGCACCATAATGGCTTATGCGGAGCTCATGGAGTGTTTCCACGGTACACTTCCGAAGCTGTTTCTGCTTGAATCCGATGATCACACAAGCCTTTTATGACCTCCGGAATTATTAGTTGTATTTTTATCCACAACGACCACGTGAAGGAAAGTCCCCACGAAGAAAGTCGTGTATGACCGATAGTAAACGTCTGAGGCAAAGCTTCCAAAGCTACCTCCAAACTTCCGCTAGACGATAACTCCGTTCATCTGTGACCTCATTACGACGTTTCGGTAAGATTAAACTGTTCATGTGACCTGCTTGGTAGCTGAATTTGAAAGTACATTTATACGTAACCGTTGGATGTACATTGATTATTGTTCTGGGCAGTTTGTTTATTGGTGCACTGAAATCAAACTACCAATATTCTCAATTTCGATGGCTTCTCTTATCATTCTGGTTATCTGTTTGTATCTTTTGCAGTCGATACCTGTATCAAGGTATCAACATCAGGCTTATACAAACACCATCTTGATACAACTTATAACATCGACTTCATGAGTTGCAAATGGATCGCCAGTATATACAGCACCAGAAAACCAGAATGATTATAAAGGCCACCGAAATTGAGAATATTGAACACTGGAGATGATGCACATTACGTCTGAGCTGTATCGAAAACCAGCATATCCAAAACAGGAAACACATCGCCCAGAGCAATTATCAATGTGCCTCCAATGTGCCACCAATCAACCAAAACGCTTCATGTCAAGCATGCACACCGGCAACCAATCAGGACTTTTCGCGTCAAAACTACAGCCTACGGCAACTTCAGTTTCAAGTTCAGCTACCAAGCAAAGCACATGAATATGTGCTGAAACGTCGTGATGAAGTCGCAGACGAAAGGAGTTATCGTCTAACCCAGGGGTCTCCAAACTACGGCCCGCGGGCCAAATCCGACCCGCCAGTGTCATCAATATGGCCCTCGACAGCCAATGATTACCTAATTGTTGTTACTATTGCTGTGATAAGTTGAAGAAGAAAACACCGAATGATAATTACTCGGTTTTATTTACTTGCAAGGTAAAACTTAACAACAGAAATGATGACAAAGAAAACTTAAGTATCTAAGTTTAAGCATATTAATAACTAACAAATAAATTAAATGAATCACAGTAAAACAAAAACACTAATGATATTTATGTGATTGTGATTTTCCACCGACAATACTATGTAGTTGCGGATAAATTTTACTTGTATCAATTATCAAAAGAGATTTAAGATGCTCATCGGTTAATTGAGATCTGTAAACATTCTTTGTGTACTTCATCTTGGAAAACGTTTTCTCACACAAGTATTACAAAAAACAGAAAACAACCCACGAGCAAATTTATGCAAATTATCAAATAATTTTCCAATGAATGTCATGTGTATGAATTTCAATAGTATTTGTTCCCATTGTCATATATTCTCCACAAACCTTCATAATCTCATAAGAATTGGAAACATGTACGTAATTTAGGTAATAAGAATTTTTTCTCTCCATTCATTTCTCTGTGTTTGAACTTTAGCCTTGTGAATATAATTTTGTATTGTCCTATAAATGGGTAACTGTTGGAGAATAAAGCTATCATTATTATTATTGTTTGAGGGTGATTGACAATGTTTCATGATGAATTTCACTAGTTCGGACTTCCATTGTCTACTATATAAAATGATTTAAAATCCCTGAGACAACTAAAAAAGAAGAATTGAAAGTGAATAGCTGAAAATAACAATTATATTAACCAAAATAAACCTGAACTGAAATAATACTGAAATAAAATACAAGTAAAAATAGAACAATTGAATAAATAAAAATAAAGAAATGAAAAAAACAATTCAACAACAAAAGCATAAATCTATGACTTACTACTAGTAGGAAAACATTAAAAATAAACATGTTTGAGCGTCATTCCCCCGGACTTTGGGTAATGCCGCTCAGGGGACGGGGTAACAACGCTCACACATTTTGTTTAGGAATATAATTGGTAAGACACATTTTAAACAAATATTAATGAGATCAACCTTATACAATAAAAGTTAGGTCTACAATTACAAACTAGTATCAATTACCCTCATTTGTACTTAATATTAGTATATTTCGATTCAACAAATATAGTAAACTCTTCAAAATTGAATAAACTCCAATTATGATAACATAGTATGAAATAATGATGAAAATTAGAGGTAAAACAAATTAGTGAACACATAAATCACATATATATCCATCCGACGAATCCCACCCTCAACATATAGCGTGAGCCCACATTGCACAGTTGGTGCAGCGATACCACAGCTCGTTATTTTTTTCCAAATTCTTCGCAGATATTACATTTGTTATAATTTTCGTCGTCCACATGCATTTCGTCATCACTGTCATCATCGCAAAACTGTTCTTCATCTTCAGTCTCTGAAGAACTTTCTTGTAAAATTTTTCTCTTGTAAGATTTTTGTTCGATTTGTTTGTTCTTCTTTTCTTTGATACCTTTCTTTGGTTTTGATTTATCATCTTTTTCAGTCTTCTTGAGTTTTTCCAGTTTTTTCTTTTCTTTATCCTCTAAAATAGTAGCATGTTGTTTTCGTTTTCTTTGAGCTGGCTTGGAAGATGGTGCAATAGTTGGTGTTGTTGCTATAGAATCAAAGGATACCGTAATTCTTTGCTCATCAACAACTTTTTTGTTACAAGAACCTGCTGAAATAGATTCAGAGCATTGGTCCTTATTTGATGGTCCTGGTAATGGAGATGCATGTCCCAAAATTATTGCCATATCAACACATTGAACATCTTCAAAATTCTGAACGTTTGGGTCTTGGTTTCCAGCAATTTTTTCCGATTCTTGTAACATCAATGACGCTGCCAGAAAGTCTTGATCAGTTCAATGGGAAAATTCCTGTGGCCCGAAATCTAGATTCTGCTTTACTAATATTAGCAACTTGTGCGTAAGCTTTATTGAAAAGACCTGCAACGTCGTATGGGGTTATTTTAGACAAATGTGTCTTCATGTGTCTGTTGCATTCATTACGATAAGCAGCTTTCAACGGCCCATAAAAAAAACATCCAGCGGCTGCGTTCTGTGGGAACTGTGTGGTGGAATGGAAAGCATGGTAATGTGGTTTTCCTTGCAAAAATCAAAAGCTTGAAGGGAAATGTGACTGCTGTGATTGTCTAGAATTACCAACACAGGTGATTCTTGGGTAGGCTTAGCGAATGCAGCAAAATGTTTGAGCCAAGTGACAAATAGGTCTTCGTTAATCCAGCCATTTTTAGAGTTGGTGTATATTGCACCAACTGGTCCATCTTTTTTTAATAAAGGCGTCATTCTCCGTCTGGCAAAAATAAAGATAGGCGGTATAAAGTTTCCAGCTGCACTCATAGCACACATAACCGTAATGTTGCTTCCTCGTTCACCGCGAGCACTTTTCCCGGGTCTGTTACCGTGGTGATACCAGTTTCGTCACAATTTTATATATTGTTGGGAATAAATTTATATTTTTCCATTAAGTCGCCAAGTTTATCATAAAAATGTGTTATATTTCTTCTTTGCTAAAAGCAGAAATACACTCACAGGGTATCCGGTAAATGCAATTCTTGGAATCGCAGTCCGCGTTTGGTGGCCTGGTTTTCGTGAGGCTGCTACGGATAGTGTTACCGGATCTGAAACAGGTTCTGATGTTGTACTTGGAACCAATTCTTATTATCCTCTCCGATAATCCTCTGATGTAGGGAAGTGCAAGCACTGGTTGTGACGGCTTCTCTTCCTTGCGAGGCTCCTGCTGTCTTATAGCAGAATGTTAACAAGCGAGATCTATCCCAAAAATGTATTAACCTTATCATTATGGTGGATCGGTCCTGCTTGGCTCTCACAATCAATGGACCACTGGCCAAAATCAACTGTGAAGTTTCTATCTAAAGTGCCGGAGTTAAGAAAACAAAGGATCACCACCACATTCAAGAATCCGATTAAGGTCCATTCAAAGCATTTTGGAATATATTCAAGTTGCAACAAATAATATTATATGTTAAAAGATTTTTAGTAATTTACCAAAATTGGTCACTTGATTGGAATTACGACTTCACGCTATAGACGCTTTAGACGCTATAGACGCTTTAGTGACCTTAACCCAAAGAGAAGCAGCAGAAGTAGCATCATTGCAATCAAACAAAACACTAAGCAAGAAATCGAAGATTCTTGCTTTGAACCCATTTTCAGACCACAAAAATATTCTCAAAGTAGGTGGCAGGCTAAATTTGTCCAATTATGAATACAACTAAAACATCCTGCAGTTCTGTAAAATGAACACTATTTAACCTAACTCATCTTCCAACAAGAACACATAAGATTGTTCCATAGTGGAATTCCATACTTGCTTTTCTGTATTCGTAACAGTGGCATGTAACGAAGAGGTCAATCTTTATTAGGTTAAGATGGCGCAAGTTCAACCGAATTTCAATAAGTGAAAAAGTTTAAGTACGTACAATATAAACCACTGTCTTACTCTAAAGTTTGAATTTCATGTAATGCAATACTCATCCCAATATAAAATATGTATCAAGTTCAACAATCGATTAATTTTGTAATATTTCATCCTGACTTTGTACCACTTTTATTATTCAACAAAAAACATAAACCATTTTCACCGTTTTCTTCATCAAACACAAGTTTCTATGCCAAATTGTTTCTTATTTTCTCTGTAATACCGTATGATATTAATATCATAAAGCAGATGAAAGGCTTTTTCATTATAAGATGCAATCTGCTAAA